AGTCCACACAGGGTCCACACAGAGTCCGCACAGAGTCCACACAGGGTCCACACAGGGTCCACACAGAGTCCACACAGGGTCCACACAGGGTCCACACAGGGTCCACACAGGGTCCACACAGAGTCCACACAGAGTCCACACAGGGTCCACACAGAGTCCACACAGGGTCCACACAGAGTCCGCACAGAGTCCACACAGGGTCCACACAGGGTCCACACAGAGTCCACACAGGGTCCACACACAGGGTCCACACAGGGTCCACACAGAGTCCACACAGAGTCCACACAGGGTCCACACAGGGTCCACACAGGGTCCACACAGAGTCCACACAGGGTCCACACAGGGTCCACACAGGGTCCACACAGAGTCCACACAGGGTCCACACAGGGTCCACACAGGGTCCACACAGGGTCCACACAGGGTCCACACAGAGTCCACACAGAGTCCACACAGGGTCCACACAGAGTCCACACAGAGTCCACACAGGGTCCACACAGGGTCCACACAGAGTCCACACAGTCCACACAGGGTCCACACAGGGTCCACACAGGGTCCAAACAGAGTCCACACAGGGTCCACACAGGGTCCACACAGGGTCCACACAGGGTCCACACAGAGTCCACACAGAGTCCACACAGGGTCCACACAGGGTCCACACAGGGTCCACACAGAGTCCACACAGAGTCCACACAGAGTCCACACAGGGTCCACACAGGGTCCACACAGAGTCCACACAGAGTCCACACAGGGTCCACACAGGGTCCACACAGAGTCCACACAGGGTCCACACAGGGTCCACACAGAGTCCACACAGGGGTCCACACAGGGTCCACACAGAGTCCACACAGGGTCCACACAGGGTCCACACAGAGTCCACACAGGGTCCACACAGGGTCCACACAGGGTCCACACAGGGTCCACACAGAGTCCACACAGAGTCCACACAGGGTCCACACAGAGTCCACACAGGGTCCACACAGGGTCCACACAGAGTCCACACAGAGTCCACACACAGTCCACACAGGGTCCACACAGGGTCCACACAGGGTCCACACAGAGTCCACACAGAGTCCACACAGGGTCCACACAGGGTCCACACAGAGTCCACACAGTCCACACAGGGTCCACACAGGGTCCACACAGGGTCCACACAGAGTCCACACAGGGTCCACACAGAGTCCACTGGATTAGGGACCCATATTCACTGCTAAATTAGTCCAAGAACACGTGTTTGTCCTTGTGCTGTAATCTTTCAATAATCTGCTCCAATATATATTTCCAGAATGATATTAAAGGAGATGAACAGAGCAGCATGTGGCCAAGAAATATTAAAAAGAGGAGAAGCAATTTCAGTCTAAACTAATGCATTAGTTTTATCTGGCGATGGAAAAGATAAGACGCCAGGCTGGAACACAAGACGGGAATCTATTCTAGACCGGGAGAGTTTAATATATGCTGGAATACTGGTGCAACACCCTCTCCTAGCATTGTAGACTGTTGTTGTGTCCTTAGGCAAGACACTTCAGATAATACTTTTGCGTTTTCTCTGACTTTACTCTGGTCATTGACATTGGAGGTTTATGTTACTCTATGATGTCTGCTTATTTTGGCTCTAGTCTGTTGTATTTTGATAATTTAAGTGCTTTGCTGAGAGAGGCCACCTTCAGAGAATAATGTCTGTAATAATGTCCTGAACGTTCAGGGATCACCTTTTTGCTCTGCCCTCCTGACTTTTTGCTTCAGTTAAAGTGCAGACCATAAAACATGTGACATTTGATTTGAGCAGTCTTATTTTCCTCAATTGTTGCAATGTCTTTGAATAGTATGAGGGACATGAATCGCAATACTTGAATTGTGGCCCAAATATCGCAATTTTGCCAATCCCCATACGTTATGATAACCATGAATGGATAAAGCTCACGGCACACAGCAAGACGGTTGCGGGTTTGATTCCATTTATTCATCAGGACAGTGTACAATCACATGATGCATAAAGCCTCCTCCTTCTTCTACTTTGGACTGGAAAGATTGTGTGACCTCATGAACGTTCTCTTCATCATCAGTTGAGGAGGTGAAAAAGTCATTCATTGTTTAAGTTACGCACTGCCCCCTCACATATCACACGGTGTCGTCACATTCACGCAATCGTAGACTCAGAGCGAGCTGGAGGTAGAGAGGGCACTGAGGAGGAGGAGAGCAGCAGGAGGACAGCAGGAGGGGCAGTAGGAGGAGGGAAGCAGGAGGGCAGTAGCAGAAGGAGGAGAGCAGCAGGAGGAGGAGGAGAGCAGCAGGAGGACGAGGAGAGCAGCAGGAGGAGGAGAGGAGCATCAGGAGGAGGAGAGGAGCATCAGGAGGAGGAAGAGAGCAGCAGGAGGAGGAGAGGAGCAGCAGGAGGAGGAAGAGAGCAGCAGGAGGGCAGCAGGAGGAGGAGGAGGGCAACAGGAGGAGGAGGAGGGCAGCAGGAGGGCAGCAGGAGGAGGAGGGCAGCAGGAGGGCAGCAGGAGGAGGAGGGCAGCAGGAGGAGGAGGGCAGCAGGAGCAGCAGGAGGGCAGCAGGAGGAGGAGGAGGGCAGCAGGAGGAGGAGGAGGGCAGCAGGAGGGCAGCAGGAGGGCAGCAGGAGGAGGAGGGCAGCAGGAGGAGGAGGGCAGCAGGAGCAGCAGGAGGGCAGCAGGAGGTGAAGTGAATGAGGACCCAAAAAGCGGGAATGCTAAAATAATGATTTAATGATGAAAAAATAAAAGTATGGAAAGAACAAGACGGCACAGAACAGACATGGACAATGGACCAGCAACAAGGGGAGAGGAGCACAGGTACATATAGACACAGGTACATATAGACACAGGTACATTTAGACACAGGTACATTTAGACACAGGTACATTTAGACACAGGTACATTTAGACACAGGTACATATAGACACAGGTACATATAGACACAGGTACATATAGACACAGGTACATAGACACAGGTACATATAGACACAGGTACATATAGACACAGGTACATATAGACACAGGTACATATAGACACAGGTACATAGACACAGATACATATAGACACAGGTACATATAGACACAGGTACATAGACACAGGTACATAGACTCAGGTACATATAGACACAGGTACATATAGACACAGGTACATATAGACACAGGTACATACAGACACAGGTACATATAGACACAGGTACATAGACTCAGGTACATATAGACACAGGTACATATAGACACAGGTACACATAGACACAGGTACATATAGACACAGGTACATATAGACACAGGTACATAGACACAGGTACATAGACTCAGGTACATATAGACACAGGTACATAGACACAGGTACATAGACTCAGGTACATATAGACACAGGTACATATAGACACAGGTACATATAGACACAGGTACATATAGACATAGGTACATAGACACAGGTACATAGACTCAGGTACATATAGACACAGGTACATAGACACAGGTACATATAGACACAGGTACATATAGACACAGGTACATATAGACACAGGTACATAGACACAGATACATATAGACACAGGTACATATAGACACAGGTACATAGACACAGGTACATAGACTCAGGTACATATAGACACAGGTACATATAGACACAGGTACATATAGACACAGGTACATATAGACACAGGTACATATAGACACAGGTACATATAGACACAGGTACATATAGACACAGATACATAGACTCAGGTACATATAGACACAGGTACATAGACTCAGGTACATAGACACAGGTACATATAGACTCAGGTACATATAGACACAGGTACATATAGATACAGACACATAGACACAGACACAGGTACATATAGACACAGACACAGGTACATATAGACACAGGTACATATAGACACAGACACAGGTACATATAGACTCAGGTACATATAGACACAGGTACATATAGATACAGGTACATATAGACACAGGTAAGTAAGTAAGTAAGTTTTTATTTATATACCGCCTTTTCACTGCAGATCTGAGTCTCAAAGCGGTTTACAATTGTTAATTTTGGGCATTTGTCTCTCACTCCACACAGAGATGGGAGCGGGGCCAGTACAGGAGGCACATGCCAGAACTATTGGACATATTTTTAGTGGTAGGGGAAACCGGAGTACCCGGAGGAAACCTACGCAGACACAGGGAGAACATGCAAACTCCACTCAGAAAGGCCCTGGTCCGACCAGGATTCGAACCCAGGACCTTCTTGCTGAGAGGCGAGAGTGCTATCCACTCAGCCACCGTACATAGACTCAGGTACATATAGTCACAGGTACATATAGACACAGGTACATATAGACACAGGTACATATATATACAGGTACATAGACAGAGGTACATATAGACACAGGTACATATATATACAGGTACATATAGACACAGGTACATATAGACACAGGTACATATAGACACAGGTACATAGACACAGGTACATATAGACACAGGTACATATAGACACAGGTACATAGACACAGGTACATAGACACAGGTACATATAGACACAGGTACATAGACTCAGGTACATATAGACACAGGTACATAGACTCAGGTACATATAGACACAGGTACATATAGACACAGGTGCATATAGACACAGGTACATATAGACACAGGTACATATAGACACAGGTACATATAGATACAGGTACATAGACACAGGTACATATAGACACAGGTACATATAGACACAGGTACATATAGACACAGGTACATAGACACAGGTACATATAGACACAGGTACATATAGACACAGGTACATATAGACACAGGTACATAGACTCAGGTACATATAGACACAGGTACATAGACTCAGGTACATATAGACACAGGTACATATAGACACAGGTACATATGGACACAGGTACATATAGACACAGGTACATATAGACACAGGTACATATAGATACAGGTACATAGACACAGGTACATATAGACACAGGTACATAGACACAGGTACATATAGACACAGGTACATATAGACACAGGTACATAGACACAGGTACATATAGACACAGGTACATATAGACACAGGTACATAGACACAGGTACATATAGACACAGGTACATATAGACACAGGTACATATAGACACAGGTACATATAGACACAGGTACATAGACACAGGTACATATAGACACAGGTACATATAGACACAGGTACATATAGACACAGGTACATAGACACAGGTACATATAGACACAGGTACATATAGACACAGGTACATATAGACACAGGTACATTTAGACACAGGTACATATAGACACAGGTACATATAGTCACAGGTACATATAGACACAGGTACATATAGACACAGGTACATTTAGACACAGGTACATATAGACACAGGTACATATAGTCACAGGTACATTTAGACACAGGTACATAGACACAGGTACATATAGACACAGGTACATATAGACACAGGTACATTTAGACACAGGTACATATAGACACAGGTACATTTAGACACAGGTACATTTAGACACAGGTACATATAGACACAGGTACATATAGACACAGGTACATATAGACACAGGTACATATAGACACAGGTACATATAGACACAGGTACATTTAGACACAGGTACATTTAGACACAGGTACATATAGACACAGGTACATTTAGACACAGGTACATATAGACACAGGTACATATAGACACAGGTACATATAGACACAGGTACATTTAGACACAGGTACATAGACACAGGTACATATAGACACAGGTACATATAGACACAGGTACATTTAGACACAGGTACATATAGACACAGGTACATTTAGACACAGGTACATATAGACACAGGTACATATAGACACAGGTACATTTAGACACAGGTACATATAGACACAGGTACATATAGTCACAGGTACATATAGACACAGGTACATATAGACACAGGTACATAGACACAGGTACATATAGACACAGATACATATAGACACAGGTACATTTAGACACAGGTACATTTAGACACAGGTACATATAGACACAGGTACATATAGACACAGGTACATATAGACACAGGTACATTTAGACACAGGTACATAGACACAGGTACATATAGACACAGGTACATATAGACACAGGTACATTTAGACACAGGTACATATAGACACAGGTACATTTAGACACAGGTACATAGACACAGGTACATATAGACACAGGTACATATAGACACAGGTACATATAGACACAGGTACATATAGACACAGGTACATATAGACACAGGTACATATAGACACAGGTACATTTAGACACAGGTACATATAGACACAGGTACATATAGACACAGGTACATATAGACACAGGTACATATAGACACAGGTACATTTAGACACAGGTACATATAGATACAGGTACATATATATACAGGTACATTTAGACACAGGTACATATAGACACAGGTACATATAGTCACAGGTACATATAGACACAGGTACATATAGACACAGGTACATTTAGACACAGGTACATATAGACACAGGTACATATAGACACAGGTGCATATAGACACAGGTGAAACACAGTAGGGCGGGGCAGGTAATCAAACTCAAGCAAAAAATCGTCACCATGACGACAGAACAGGCTTGTCTGTGTGAACCTGGTCTGTATTGGAGCCGGAGGTCTCTGTGGTCCTTCCGACCTGGGACAGTCGGACTGGTTCCTCTGTCACTTGAGGCTTATTGGTTTGGTTGATTGAAGCCTCTGGGTGTATGCCTGCATCTGCTTTACTACAGAGAGAACGTGTCAATAATGCTGTTGGTTTGAGCGGGCTGAGGTCATGAGTTTCCCGTGGAGTTTTCTCATAAATGTGTGTTTCTCAGCTGAAAGTAAATGCCATAAAAAGTTTGCACTAATTGAATTTGTGAGGAGCACGCCCAAAACCGTGATGATTGCAGGACAGGGCAGAGAGGCGGAGAGAGCACTGACATTAAACACAGCAGAAACTGATAAAAATGGATTCAAAAATTGCTCAATTTTTTTAAAATGTATCTTAAAAGTATATAGAAGGATTTTCTAATTCTGGG